AGAGTAGTGGTTTATGAACTCCTTCTCTGTATGTGGTAGCTCCTATAATTAAATTACAAATAATATTTACCGGAGATGTGATAAAAAAAGGAATTGGTTTCTTTGAGAGAACGTTGAAAAGGGTCTTACTGCTCTCAAACCATGGAATATACCATAATGTTTGCAAAATTATTTTAAGAGCTTTGCAAATTCCCTAGAGAGCATGATTAGGTCTACAACATTATGTTCTCCCCCTTTCTGAGCAGATTATTACATTGGTGATTTACTATTGCCTTCCTGAATAAAAAATGGGATGGAAGGGTTAAAGTATTATAGTTGGAGTGATGGTCAAATGAGATATGAAATGGTTAGCTAACCATACCCCAATCACATGTAAAAATGTCCGTTTCTTTTCCGGAATTAGAACCCTAAATCTTCTGTTCCACGGACTTCGATGCTACTCCAAGACTATACTTTTCGAAAACCATCTCATTTCCCTTGCGTAGTGCGTATTAGACATTTCGGCTGGTTTGAGGGTTTTACACCAGTAAACATTTACGAATTAATTCGATACGTTTTGATTTGCATCGTCTTCATCACCAAGCACAGAGTGAAAACATACGCGGAACGCGGAAACATACGCGGAACTGGAATCCAGAACCTTTCTTTTTAGGCGGAGTGATATTCGCACCTCCAATAGAAAAGTGACACAAGTGCGAATTCGTCATTTTCAGATAAAAGCGTATGTTTGCCAGGAGGTTCTGCTATTATTCTAAAGTTCATTTTGAATTAGTTCAGTTATTGTCCGCTAGAAGTTGAATATTTGGTACAATCTATAACGAGTATTACAGAACTACGAAACTTAAAATTGCAATTTCTGAGAAATCAGAAATTTGCAATTGTGTCACTTTTCTATTGGATGTGCAATATGTTTACATTACATAGACAACTCCCTTTCATTTTGAAAGAGAATAGTACATAATGAAACTATGATGTAATGATGGGTATTAATACAGCAGTGTAATATTATGATACGAGCGAGTATCGTAAACTTCACAGAGGTGTATTAACACCCATTACATCGAGTTTCATACGGTACCTTTTCTACGGCTTATGGTAACTTTTATAAGTTAAACTTTTACATTGAATAGTTTCGTGTCCGTTGACTTGCTGGATTCAGCCAAGGCCACCTAGCGAACAGACCTGTACCCTGCAGGCGGGTTTGGTTTACTGCGCTAGTCAAATAGGATCAAAGTGAACTTAGAATTCAATGTATTTTACATAATATTCCGCGCAAAAATGCAAAATCGAATGAAACATTTACTAGAACGATACTCAATTATTAATTGCCAAACCTTTGTTGGTAAACTTCTCTGTGATTGGCCAAGAATATGTATCATACTGAAATCTGTATCGTAATGTGTTTCATTATGCAACAGGTTGCAGCCACCAAATGGCAGAATTATACAATTGGAGAAGAAAAAGGTTATTGTGATTTTACCATGGGTCATACCAAATGATCAAATACAATAATTGAGGAAGGACCATACTAGCGTTCATGAAATGTATCCCTGCAAACAATATTGTCAACGTTCCAGAGATGAAAGAAAGTTCAGGAAATTCGGTGGACAGACGTAAATAAAGATTGTCGAACGACAAAAAAGATAGTTATTTCTCTAACTTTTCTCATAATTTTATTCGCACTTATTTTTATGTCCTGTTTTCTATAATGTTTCAGCAATTATGTCAATACTAAACCATTAACTGTCGGCAGAGAATCTGGGAAAATAATTTAGTAGAGTATTTGAAAATAACTCTAATAAATAACTTTCTCTTTTCCTTAATGCTTTGTGGAAGTAGCACACAATCATCTGTATAAATTCTGGAGAGCTTGTTGAGAAACATCAATGAAACCAGATGAACAAGATAATGTCCACTTATTTCACAGCGACTTGAGCAAAACAATTTAATATGTGTGGATAAATGGTAGATTGGTGGAAAACGGAAAGGAGTAATTCCATTTCAATGAATTTCTTAATTATTTCTTTCAAAACACTCCAACATCGATGTAGGAAGGACAAAATTATGTTGCACCACGTTCACATACAAAAGCAAAATTTGCTAATAATTAATACATTTTGGTAATTTTGTTAATGATTTTGCTTCTTTTAAGAATATGTAATTTTGTAAAGTTTCTAAAATGTGAGTAAAGCTTCTAGAATGTCGTGAGTGGATTCGTAGGGATGGTTAGACTGAGGTTCCCATATTGAAATAACTTGATTTTTTTTAAAAATTTCGGTTTGTAGAGTGTTGCTAAAGCAACATAAACAGCATTTACCGAAAACGTTTTAATAATATTGCATATGTCTTTGTAAACGTGCTACCTACAAACTTTCATCGGTACCAATGACTATATAAAAATCAGCTATTACTCGGTCTCTCATGTATCGCGGACTCAGATAGGACTGTTTCTGTGTCACATAAGATCCAATGGAGCAAAATAATAGGGGTTTGCGCGTGGCTTTGAAGAAACCTTAGCCCTAGCGCGTTAGTCGATGCTAGTAGAAGAGGTCTTGTTTTATACTACAACTTACTCAGCCATTGTAGAGAGATCAATAGAAATGACATAGGTGCTCTATGAGAAATTATAAAACTTTCATGCGTGTAATTTAATGAAGAAAGTTTACGATTATTCGGCTATGGCGCCCCGCGTTCAATGTAAAGCCTTCAGAAATGGAATGAAAAGACACTGTTAGAATGCTTTCCCGGAGCCTTGCCATCCTCTGAAGTTAAACTTACATTTCGGCCAATAGTGGGACGTCTGCTAAAACTTAGTATAACCACTTGCAATGAACATATGGTAAAAGCACGAGAAGTGTGTGTGCAAAAGTTTATCGTTGTCATGTAAGACTAAAGACATTTCTTGACCACACAGGTGTCATGCAATTAAAGTTACATTAAGCTTCTCGCGCGACATAACCATAAAAATCAGATATATATAATTTTTTATTAATATATGTATGTAGGTTCTTGGCGCGGCAACCCGTGAACGGGCTCAGGCCTACCGGCGACGTCCCTGCCTCTCGGCCATTGGTTAATGGTATGCGTGTGGTTACCATTCCCACGCCATATCAACCTGAGAAGTAAATTTTCTCATCGCCTCATGGCAACATATACTGGGACATTGCAAGGAAAACGCACACTACTGTCTTAGCTAGAACGGGAATCGAACCCGGGGCCGCGTAGTGGAAAGCTAGTACGCTGACTAGTCATGAGCCCTTTATTAATACTTATTAAAATCTAATTCATATTTATTAATACCTTCTTGATCAAGTACTAATAGGTAGCAAGAATGATTACAATGTTTTATCATTTCTTCGCTCTAATGCCATGCATCATCTGCAGCATTCACAAGACGTTTCACCTACGCTACTGCTGTCGGGGCCACTATTCAGCCTATTCCATATCTTAAACACTCAAATATCTACACTTTTTTTTTCTCTTATAGAGAACCTTGTTAACACATTCAAACTCGCTCCAATATTTATTCAAAAGACTTTGCTTATTCAAGCAAAACATAATTCGACCATGAAATAACAGCGTTCATTACAACAACGGCGATAGAAAATAATTTACGGCTTAACTCATAAACGGTACGTTTAAATAACAAGCTTTTGTAGAATAATTCCGTAAAATTAGCTACTCATAATTCAAGACCCCTAATATTCTTTGAGTACTAAAAGAGTACTAATTAAATGAAAAGTTTAAAAGACTACCTCAAAGGGCATCTTCGGAGTCAAACATAAATTCAATAATAATGACTTCCAAGTTTCGTTGTCATTTCACTACGAAAAAAAGTACGAAGTACAATAGCAAGAACAATGGTTCAAGATGATAGATACAATGAACTTACCATGTATTCACATCAGTATATGTACCCATAATTCCGCTAAATAGATTTTCATTGCCCTGAACCAACTTGTTGGAATAACCTTATTTTGTTCTCTATAGTTACAGCCCTATTTCGACCACAAATCGTATTATACTCGTATAGCCACCCATTCATCGCCGATTTGTTGTGTAAGACTCAATGCCTTTTCTGGAGGAAACGCTTGATTTCGCTTTCCGAACGAAGAAATTAATTCCACTGCTCAGGAACCAATTCGAGCTCCAATGACCGGTAACCGGTGGACCTCTCCGTGACTTACGAGGCGCCGCTGCCCTGCTCTTTCGCCTCCACCGAATTGTGACCTTTCACGCTCGCAGTTGCGCCCCAAGTGGCCACTCGCTGAGTCAGCGTAACTCCATTTATTCGGCACATTTGCCATCGCAGCTGCCTTCCCCCGTGCTTCTCAGGTCTCTTCAGGAGCTCTTTGCAAAGAAGGCGTTTGATTTGAAAGCAGAGAGTGCGCAATCGTACTAATAAAAATGAACTTTGGAATGCAATGACGTAATATTGTTAGCAGCACTCTGTTGGGCATCGTTTTATTCTTACGTCATTTTATCTGCGAAACATTATACTGTTGGATAGTATAAATTTGGTAATTTGGAAGTACTTTGGGAATTGAAATTAAAAATTCTGGTTTTAAAGTAAGCAGAACACATATCAACAAGTCGAAAACGAATAGTCTATTTATATTCATGATGTTCATGAAATGCGAATCCTAACTACAACAGTTATTTGTTTCATGTCTAACATCGACATTCTTAAACTGCCCAGAATGGCATACGATAACTTTGGTCCCAGATTCAGGTTAAGCATCCTATTATCTCTAACAAATGTAATGCAATAATGTTTTTTTCCATGGGAAAAATTCAAAATTATGAGTCGCTAAATAAACATAATAAATAATGAATAAATATGAGTCTTTCATTATATTTCGTTTGAAAAATATTGAAATATAGTCTAAAATTAACTATTTGTCACCATTTTCTTTCCATTTCGTGATATTAATAGAGAGCTACCCATAAATACCGTTAAGCTTGTGGGTGGATCCTAAATATGAAAAAAGCATTCTCACCAGTTGCCTTATTAGCTGCCGCTGCACATGGCTGTGAAGGGCACTTGCTCCGCACCCGTGAAGCGCGGGACTTGCAGTAAAGGACCTTGGTCCGTCAGCCGAGCGCTCTGTCGCCACGTGACATTTCCTCCCGCCCTGTGATTGGCTGCGACCGTAGCGACCACCGACCCGGACTCCGCGCCGCCACGCGCCGCCCCTGCGCGCTGCACAGTGGTGCGAACTCGAGCCACAGGAAGAGGGGGCCCCGGGTATCATCTGATGTCACTGCAGTGCACAAAATTAACACAGCATTAATCACAGTAAAATGCATTTAGGCGTCAAAGAAGAAAAGATAGTTGAACCAAAGCAACTGTCTTAATTTCTGACATTGAAACCGTGCACCTCGTGGATGAGGATATACCCGATGATATTTCAGCTCGTAAGTGAAATGCAGTGAATACATAGACTGCGTCAGGAGGATAGGAGGCATGGCATCCCCTGTTTCCGTAAGTCATCTCATCGCTTCCCCCCCTCAGCATCCGACTCTCACCATGTTTTTTTTTCTCTATTTTTGCTTTACCACCATAAATTCCAAACAAGTAGTCAATATCATTCGCAAGTCTTCATCCCAACAGTGGCCTCGCGTGGATATCCACATTCACGTTTCCTCAACCTCCTCAGCTTATCCATCGCTACACCTTCTCATTCTGCCGTGTCTTCAGTAAGTTGTATTCGTATTTCAATCTCAATTCCTTTTGGTCCTCTTCCTAAGATGTTTATTTCTCCTCTAATTTCTTTGTCTAATCTCGATCTATTTCCACAAATCCCTGTATTGCCATAAGTGGCAGTATTTAGTACCTACAGTCGCTCTACTATCGAACTCAACCGCCGTCTCACAGAGTTACCAACAATTCTTCACAATATCAAAGTGTTCATGTTTCTGTTAGTATCACTACAAGGTCATCCACGATCGCTCTCACTATATCCACTAGCCACCCACTCCCGCGTTTCTTTGCTCATCTTCACAGCCACCACCCACTTCAACGCCACCGCTACCCCGACACGTCACTAGTTCTATCAGCATTCCACACACGTCACTAGCTTTTTGCCCCACTACCGCGACCGATACTGACATCGGCTACCGTTATCATTATTTTCAGCACACTACTGCGACCGTCATCTCTCCTGCCGCCACCATCACCGGTACCGCTCTTTGCGCTCATTACCACCGCCACCTTCACCATGTACCTTCACCATCGCAACCACAAACATTTTCCCCCACCGCAGATACGTCACCATCTACGCTACCGGTATGTCGCCATCTCCCTCGCCATCATCACTAATTCCATCACCGCCATCAGTAATGTCACCATCTGCGCCCACACCTGCACCGCCATCGTCACCATCTCCTCAAACGCCAGGCACCCACTAACAGACCCACCCGAAAACTGGCATCAATAACGCTGTCACATCACCGATGCCGTTTACGTCACAAACACCACAAGTGTCTCCGCTACCCCACGGCAGCACCTACAGAACCGCGACCGGTATAGTTATTTCATTGATTGATTAGTAATTGTGAGCACTTCCACCGCTAAGGCAATTAGTTTCGTAAGTGTAGTGCATTTTTGTCTTGGGTGGTGGCGGAGATCTTCCCCCGCCGGATGATGAGATCCATCATTGGCTAGCAGGGTTTTCCCCAACCATGTTCCGACGAGCGGGGCACCGCCCCAGCCAAGAAAAAACTATGTTCCCGACCGATCTCACGACTTGTGTTAGTACAGTGCATGTAAATCGAAGTGTAAGTGGGTGTATGTGAGGGGGTGAGGATAGGACAAAGAAGGGGAAGGAAAGATCGCGTAGTACGTTGCCCGTTTCTTGAGGGTACTTCTCCGGCATTCACCGGATGTTGGCCGGGGAAACCAGGAAAAACTGCCGGTCAGAGCAGCCGGCTGCTAGAATTCTCCATTCAGCAATTGAATTTGTCCCTAGTGATCTCTTAGGATCTCTCGCTCAAAGGCTATGTGACATCAGTTGGTGCTCTGAGCCACCTTTCCCGGTGCTAGTTACCATGACCATCGCTACCAGCGCCGCTGTCTCGCTAGAGCCGAAGCCGGTGGCGTC